TCACCCCTTCACCCCACTCGCCCCTTCACCCCACTCACCCGTTCAACCCATTCACCTCCTCACCCCTTCACCCCACTCTCACCTTCACCCCACTTACCCCTTCACCCCATTACCCCTTCAACCCAATCACCCCTTCATCCCACTCACCGCCTTCACCCACTCACCCCATTACCCCTTCACCCCACTCACACCTTCACCCCACTCACACCTTCACCCCACTCACACCTTCACCCCACTCACACCTTCACCTCACTCACCCCTTCACCCCCACTCACCCCTTCCCCACCCCATATATATATATATCTCACTGATTTTTTTATCGCTTTCTCTGCCATTTTTACCTTTCCATTTTCCGTTCGCTAGTTACAACATTATTTTGTTTGAGTTGCACATCGAAGGGGTGCTTTAGGTGTAAGGTGTATAACTGTAATGGGCTGTAACTGTTAGGCCCAAAGGTTAAGAATGCACTAATTCTAAAAGCTTGCACTTGGCCCGATCAAATCGTGGAAGGCATTTGCTTAAAAGTGGGAACTTAGCATGTTAGAAAACATTTCCTTTGAAATGGGACATCATCATACGATTGTTTAGAAGGAAATGTGTGAGTCGAAATATGGATAAATCTCAGAAAGAACGAAACAAAACAACGAACGTGTCGGCAGGAAGCCTTTGCCTGGGAATAAACAACAGAAAAAACAACACACAATTAAATTTAAAACAAAATAGCACTAAGCTGAAAAGTAGCATTCTATAGGGCAGCAAAAGAATTGTCCCCTACCTATTTTCTGTCACAATTCCTTTGCTTCCCTCCCCATGCTACTTTTCAGCTAAGTGCTATTTTTTAAAAAATTTAACTCTTTTTATACGGTTGTTTGTTCGCTGACGAAGGCGTCTTGTCGACACGTTCGTTATTTGGTTGCGTTCCTTTTTTTCAGGTTTTCCCTTACTTTGTTTTTCTCATCTCCTAGTTCAATGTTCTAGTCGTTCACTTCGGCTCCACTTGTCCTATGCACGGTTGTATGAAATGTAGTCCTTTATTTCACGAAGTCTACCCTTATCGTGTCCAGCCGTTGAGCCCATTCCCTGTTCCAGACACCGCCAAACAACCCCTCCCGCTCCAGAGTCAATCAGTGAGCACTGCCCACCCCATCCACGGACACAGACAGCGCGCCGCCGTTGATATTCCCGTGTGTCTGCTGCCATGACCTGCATGTAACTGTTGTTTTTATTCGATTAACCCCCGTCCATTCATTGGAGATTTATGCAGTGGCCGCCATGACGGAATCAGTGGCCGCCATGTTTTCTGTGTAAACGACTCTGGAACAGTTTGTAGGGACGTTGACTAATGTCAGCTTTATACAGCCGCCTTGGGGGGGGGGACGTTGGCTATTGTCAGCTTTATACAGCCGCCTTGGGGGGGCGGTGGGTATTGTTAGCCT